TATATATATATATATATATATATATATATATATATATATATATATATATATTGATATTAATATTAATGTATTAATTTAATTGTTATTTACTTGTAACCTTATATAAAAGCATATTTTGCATGTTTGGTTCACAATTAAATATACTAATAATATAAGTTTGTTGGTTTTTTTATTGATATTAACTGCTGTATAGGTGTCATTAAAATAAGAGAACCGTTTATTTATAAAAAAGGTCCGCAAAGGGCTTCTTGTATAAGTAATTATAATTTTTTTAACATTATTATATTTCTCTAAGTATTTTATTTTTTATTTAATAATATATTACTAATATATTATAGGGAATACAAATAAGTCTCCGCTGTTTGACAAAAGATGGCCCCACCAGTAAGTTATGGTTGAAATTGTCAGATGTAAAACGTCATATCGTAAGGTTGAACATCTAGCAACACCATAACCTTGAAATATTAGCAATTTTGTATCAGCATCACATAATTTATTTCGTACGAAAATGTCGAGTTTTGAGCCGAATAAACGTCATTTGCGGGAACTTTTGATTTACTTCTTTAATTTAGAGAAATCTGCAGCTGAGGCGCATCGATTGCTTGTAGAAGCAATGGTGAGAGAAGTTGCTTTAAGCAACTACTTTAAGTGAGAAAAGTTGTCGTGAGTGGTTTCAAAAGTTTAAGAACGGTGAGTTTGACGTCGAAGACAAAGAACGTAGCGGAAAGCCGAAAGTGTACGAAGACGCGGAATTGGAAGCATTATTGGAGGAAGATTCGTGCCAAACGCAAGAAGAACTTGCACTTACATTAGGAGTGACTCAACAAGCAATTTCACATCGTTTAAAATCGTTAAGAATTCAAAAGCAAGGAAATTGGGTTTCATATGAATTGAAGCCGAGAAACGTTGAACGCCGATTTTGCACATGTGAAATGCTGCTTGCCAGGCATAAACGAAAGGGTTTTTTGCATCGTATAGTCACTGGTGATGAAAAATGGATCCACTACGATAACCCAAAGAAGAGGAAATCACGGGGACCACGTGGTCATGCTTCAACACCGACAGCCAAGCCGAATATTCATGGAAAAAAACTCATGTTGTGTATTTGGTGGGATCAGCTTGGTGTCGTGTATTATGAGTTGCTCAAACCGAACGAAACCATTACTGGGGCTTTTTACCGAACACAATTGATGAGATTGAGCCGAGCACTCAAGTAAAAACGCGCCCACTACTACTCCAGACACGACAAAATTAAGGGACGTCTACATTGGAAGTAAATAGCAAGAAGTAGGAAGTAAGAGTAAGAAATTGACCAACCACAGTCGAATGTAAGAAGAGTAATTAACTATGAATGGTTAATTTCTTATTCTTACTTCCTACTTCTTACTGTTTACTTCCAATGTAGACGTCCCTTTATTCTCCTGTATGATAATGCTCGTCCACATGTTGCGGCGCCGGTCAAAACCAATTTGGAAACACTCAATTGGGAAATTTTACCC